AAGAAGACATATCTACTCTGAAGAAGTAATTTTACTCCTGCATTTTCATGCCACAGGTTACTTGTGAATGGAATATCTTTCAGGCAAGTTAGAATTTACATGGGTTATGCTGTGATAGACATTGTAGCCTTTTGCTGGTTAATGCCTTAATTTTCTTTCAACTTTGCTATTTAAATAAATGTTCCTTATTTCCAAGTAGGGCCCTAAATCGTCCTCTGGTTTTCCCATGCCCAAATTCCCCCGGATGACTCTCTAAGACTACATTTTTCCTCCTTAGTGGTCAAAAAGAGTAAATTCCGCACAGCATTTCTTGAGTGTTTTTCTCACTGCAGGTATACGTTTGTCTACATAATCAATAAGTCAAAATATTTACAGGAGACATTAAGTGAGGATTATTTAATTTTTACAACCTAAGTGACATATCCTCTTTTTAAAACAGCGTTATTGAGATATGATTCCCATATCTTACTATTCACTCATTTAAAGTGTCCAATTCAGTGGTTTTTATTGTATTCACAGATATGTGCAACCAACATCAAAGTCAATTTTAGAGTATTTTTATCACTTGAAGAAGAAACCTTGTACCCTTTAGCTACCAACTCCACTACGTCCCCACTCCATCTCCATCCGTAAGCAACTGATTTACTTTCCATCTCTATAGATTTCCCTACTCACGGTATTGCATGATTACAATCATGTAGTAGGTGGTCTTCTGTGACTGGCTTCTTTCACTTTACTGATAAGGTTAAGTTTATCAAAGAGTTTTATAATAAAAAAAAGTGTCAGTTCAGGAGGATTTAACAATGACGAACATAGATGCACCTCAGAATAGAGCACCAAAATACATGAAGCAAAAACTGACACAAAGGAAGGAAGACATTGATAATTCAGTAATAATAGTTGGAAACTTCAATACTCCATATTCAATAATGGGTAGAACAGCTATGCAGAAGGACAGCAAGGAAATCACATGAGCAGCACTGCACTCAGCTACACTAGCAGATGTCTATAGTACACTGCCCCAGCAGGAGCAGAGGCCGCATGCTTCTGCAGTGTACAGGCATATTCTCTAGAACAGACTATATGCTAGGTCATAAAGAATCTCAATAAATATAAAAGGACAGAAGTAAAACATAGTATTTTCTATGGAAATGAAATTAGAAGTCAATTACAGGAAGAAAAAAAAATACTGGGAAATAAAAACTATGTGGAAAGCAAGCATCACACTTCTAAATAACCAGTAAGTCAAAGGAGAAGTCATAAAATACTTCCAGATGAAGGAAAATAAATTTATGGGAGGCAGGAAAAGCAGTGCTTAGAGGGAAATGTATACCTATAGATGCCCCTATTAGAAGAAAAACAAATATCTCAAGTCAATAATCTAACCTTCTGCGGTAGGCAGCTAGACAAACTAGAGCAGAGGAGGGACAATAGGCCAGGTACAGAAGGTCACTAGCGTGGAAAGCCTCAAGTACTTAGCAACAGGCGAAGTGGGAAAACAAGGACCTTGCCTCCAGGATAACCTTTCCTCCCCTAGCCTATCGCTGGTTATGCAGTTCAGACCTGACCTTTCCCATCGCCGGTTATGCAGTTCAGACCCTTCCCTGACCTTTCCTCCCCTGGCATGTTGCTAGTCATGCAGTTGGATCCCCTTAGAGGTCGAACGACCCCCATCAAATACATTTAGCCTCAGTTGTGTTTCAGCTCCAGGCCCAGAAAAGCAGCAACACCAGATAAATGACACTCTACCCGTGTGGACTAATGACCCTCTGCCCAGGTGCCTACCAATGAGTAGAGACCTTGACCTGGAAAGGACACACCTGGAACGTTGATGAATAGTCTACTGGGAGCCTCCCTTGAGACATCCAGATAAATACCCTCAAGGCAGAGGACCCAGTTGGGCTCTCTCTATGGAGCACACCAGCATCTGCCTTCCCCCTCCTCCTCCTCCCAGGCACGTTTTCCTTGTCTCTTTTCTCAGCTCCAAGGGCCCTTCTTTTGCCTCTGTAACCTGTTTCCTGGGCCCATTTCTTCTATGGCTCACTTCTACCTCTGTGACTTTCTAAATAAACTTTCTCTTACAGTTTGAGTCTTGGCTCTGAATTCTTTCTTAGCGGAACTCAAGAACTAAGATTGCTGAACCAAGGTCCTCTCTGACTCCACCTGTCTAACACCTGTTGCCATTTTTTCAGCTGCCAACAAGTTCACTTGAAGACACTGGAAAATGAAGAGAAAACTAAACATATAGCAAGCAGAAAGAAGAAAATAGAGCAGAAATTAATGAAAAAGAGAATAGAAAAATGAGACTTTAAACATTTGAAACTTTACTGATTATAATAAATTGTATTAAAATATTTACAGAAAACATTAAACAGGGATTATTTTTTTACAAAATAAGTGACATCTTTTCTTTTTTAAAAAAAAATGTGTTTCTTTATTGATTTCAGAGAGGAAGGGAGAGGGAGAGATAGAAACATCAATGATGAGAGACAATCATTGATTGGCTGCCTCCTGCATGCCCCCTACTGGGGAACGAGCCCACAACCTGGCCATGTGCCCTTGGCCGGAATAGAACCTAGACCCTTCAGTCTGCAGTCCAACACTCTATCCACTCAGCCAAACCGGCTAGGGCGACATATTTTCTTATGCATTTAAAAATATCAGATTCAACATGGCTTCTTTTATAAGAAGCTAACTTTTGTGGAAATATCTACCAGGTGCTGTCTTCTAATTCAGATTCTGAATTTTTGGAAACTATCCATCAAACCTTGAGTCCATTTCAATTCCAAGCTTTTCAGAAATCTGACCTAATAGAGTACTGCTTAGGTTGTTTACAAATCCATGCCCGATTCCTCATGCCACCACTTCCAGCTCTGTGACTCTGGACAAATTGCTCAATATCTTTGAGATTTATCTTCCTCCTCTATAAAATAGAGGTTAATTTTCTTAGTCTGAGAGGAATTGTGAGAGAACATACCCAAAAGATCCAAGTTCAATACCTGGTACATTGCAGTACCTGTTCTGTAATCGCTTGATGATTTAAAAACGGAATGACAGCCTAATTGCCCATATGGCATGAGTACACATCCATGAATATGCTTTTAAAGAAGAGAACTGAAGACAAGAATGTAATGTTGGATCCTGTGTGCCAGGCTTTGGGCTAGTCCTGTGATCTGTAGCTGTACCACGTAGAACTTATTTGATAATTTGGACTGTTTTAACAACAGCTAAAATACTCAACTTGGGCAAAAGACACATCCTGGCCTAAATTGATTGTTTTAGCAATAGGTTATAAAGATGAAATATGTGCACCCTTAAAAAGTCAAGCCTCTTATAATTTAACTTTTTTGTTGTCATATATGCTTAGTGGTGTAAGAAATTGTATCCCCGTGTCTTAGGTAAGCATACTTCTTAGTTGTACAACTCTGTGGACTCTTTCAGACTACAGCTAGCGGCATTTGAAGGGGTGCAGAACAGGCCTCCCGAGGATGTGCCCCTTTGGCACTTGAATTATTTTGAGCTGAAGGCAGTCAAGACCCCACAGGCTCGCAAGAAACGTTTTCCTCTCCCTAAAGAATCTATATTAAGGGCCTTGCGCATATTAGAGTTATCGCCAGAAATGACTTTATGATCTATGCATAGGACAGACCAACACTTAACTACTCACAGCTGCTGCTCTTATGTTCCAATGATTGACTTTTTCCCCTCTGACGCCCAAGGCTCTTTACCTCCTCCTTAGCTCAGAATGTCATGTACATCTCATTTTACCTTTTTGTCTCTGAACCTCTCATGTATGGGGGAGGTCTCTGACTATCTCATGTACATGAGGTTCCCATACATATGTATGTAACTGAATTTGGCTATTTTCTCTTGTTAAAGTGCTTCATGTTAATGTAATATCTAGACCAGCCAGAAGAACCTGGAAGGGCAAAAGGAACTTTCTTCCTGGCCCACACACAAGCACATTTATAAACTGATAGGCAAGATAACTGATTGAATCATGGTATTACTCAAAGCATATTGTGGCAGGCGCTTTTATGCTTATTCTGTTTATTGTGTGATTGATGGCTATGAAATTGAATATTCTCACCAGCAATACAAGCTGCAAGCCGAGACTGAGGCTAGTGCTTCTCAAAACATTAACATGAATATGAATCACCTGGAGATCTTGTTAAACTGTAGATTCTGATTTACCAGGTGCTGAGTGGGGCCAGAGAGTCTGCATTTCTAACAAGTTTCCAAGAGTTGCCAGTGCTTCTGGTCCAAGGACCACACTGTGAGCAGTCAGGTTGTGTAGAATCCTGGTGGGCAGGGCATGAGTTGGAACTGACTAGAGCTCTCTGTTCTTATGCATCATGGTCCCAACTATTTGTTCACACTTTCTGAGTTTAATGAACTTTCTTAACTGAGCTCTGAAATTCAGAGGCGTTGAATAGCAGTGATTCTATTCTTAAATTTTGCATATCATAATGATCAAATACAGTAATAGAATAATACTATGTCTACCTTGTCATGCATTGTCTATAGTTCCTTTGTGTTGTCTATTAGGCTGCCCACCTCTCAGACCTCTTTATACTGTATCTTAGTGAATATCTGAGGTGGTGTATATGAAATATCTCCATTTCCATTCTCTAGAGCTCTCTGGCTGCCATTGGCCCTTACTATATGCCAAAGAACAATGAATAGAAACTGCTTAAATGCCAGCAAGACTTTTGTTACCAAATGAAAAGAATCATTTGCAATTGTTAAACTCAGGCCTGATTTCTTGTCTAATACCTTAAATGAGCATTTCTGGAAACTTCAGGGGAGCCTAATTTCACGTCTTTAGTCATTTAGATGAGAGTGCAGATTGAGGTTCATCGGTAGAGTCTGAAGTGTGTTGAACTTGATTTTGTATGCAATTTGACGTGAGAGGCATTATTTCAAGATGCGTCCAGTTCAGTTCTTAATATGAAGTAGATGTGGCTTGACATGTAATGCATGCCTCTGATTTCTTACAGAACACCGGGATAGTCCCAGTAAGGACAGGAGGAAACCCAGAGCGAGGGAACGGGCAGGAAGGAGCAGCCTGGCTGACGACGTGGCAGTGCTCAAGAGCGGCTTCGCAACAAAGGCGCTGTCTGCCTATGGGAACAAGACGGACAGCGCGAGAGAGCAGAGGACCCACAGAAGAACAAAGCGTTCCTTGTCCTACCCACGGTTTGTAGAAGTGATGGTGGTGGCAGACCGAAAAATGATTTCATTCCATGGAGCAAATCTTCAACACTATGTTTTAACTTTAATGTCAATTGTAAGTACACATAAAAGAACCTGATTCATGAGCCCCTACAGGTGCCATGGGGTGAGGGGGGCTTCCATGCAGGGCTTTGGAGGATCATTCAGGGCTGGCATTTCACCGACTCAGGCAAGTGACTGGAAAGAACATAGACTGTTCATTGGTTGCTGTTTTGTAACAGTCATGGCTATCATTGAGTGTTTGTTCTGTGATCATTTGACAATGTGCTTGTTACTTAAAAGGCATAATTTCTAAACCTTCGGGCAACTCTGCTAGGTAGGATTATCATCCCTATTTTATAAATAAGAAAACTGAGCCTCAGAGGAGGTGGGTCACTTGCCCATGGTCCTGTGAAGGCTTGGAGACTGATGTGACATCTGGCTCGTCCCGTTGCTGAGACCAGCACTCTGTCTGACAGGCGAGCTCGCACAGCCAGGTGTGAGTCTCGAGGCTTCCGCTGCTGGCTGTGAATCAGTCACCTAGGCTCTTCCCCAGGGTTCTAATTAGCCCTCGGGTGGGGCCTAGAAATCTCTCCCTCTATTTTCCTATGCCCATTTTGAATTGAAAGAGCAATACATTTGCATAATTTTTAAAAATCTAACATAAAAGTTCATTGATGAAAAATAACTTGTTCTGCCCTACCCGGTTTGGCTCGGCGGATAGTGTTGGCCTGTGGACCAAAGAATCCCGGGTTCGATTCTAGTCAAGGGCACATACCTTGGTTGCAGGCTCCTCCCCAGCCTGGTTGGGCTTGTGCAAGAGGCAACCAATCAATGTGTTTCTCTCACATCCATGTTTCTCTCTGTCTTTCTCTCTCTCTTCCACTCTCCCTAAAAATCAATGGAAAAATATCCTTGGGTGAGGATTGACAAAATAAGGAAGTCATTGTTTCCTTTAAAAAAATAAATAACGCCGAAACCGGTTTGGCTCAGTGGATAGAGCATCGGCCTGCGGACTGAAGGGTCCCAGGTTCGATTCCGGTCAAGGGCATGTACCTGGGTTGCGGGCACATCCCCAGTAGGAGATGTGCAGGAGGCAGCTGATTGATGTTTCTCTCTCATTGATGTTTCTAACTCTCTATCTCTCTCCCTTCCTCTCTGTAAAAAAATCAATAAAATATATAAAATAAATAAATAAATAAATAAATAAATAAATAACTTGTTCCCTACTCATGCTTCCACTCCTTCCCAGAGGCAACCATTAGTAAGCTTTTTTGGATATGTTTCTAAACAGCTCTGCCCAATAGAGATACAATGTAAGCCACATATATAATCTTATATTTTCTAGTAGCCGAATGAAATAAAACAAGTAGGTAAATTAATTTTAATAATGCATTTTTATTTTATATCCTTCAAACATTATTAATGAGATATTTTAATACTTTTCATACTAAGCCTTCAAAATCCAGGATGTTTTATCCTCACTGCACATCTCAGTTGGGACCAGCCACGTTTCTAGTGCTCAGTGACTATGCGTGGCAAGTGGCTACCGTATCAGATGGCACTCAACACTTCTTAAGCATATATGTATGCATTTACAACTGGTTCTCAACAGAAATGCAGAATTGTCCTGGACTGTTTTACACATTGCTTTTTTCTTGAAATATTGGAGGTGGTTTTCTTTTTTTTAAAATATATTTTATTGATTTTTTACAGAGAGGAAGGGAGAGGGATAGAGAGTTAGAAACATTGATGAGAGAGAAACATCGATCAGCTGCCTCCTGCACACTCCCCACTGGGGATGTGCCCGCAACCAAGGTACATGCCCTTGACCGGAATCGAGCCTGGGACCCTTGCTCTATTCACTGAGCCAAAGCAGTTAGGGCTGGAGATGGTTTTCTATAGCAGTCCCTATGATCTTGCCCCCCTTCACTGGCCTTAATTTATTTGAACAGGAATCTACTTTTTATATATTCCTCAAACGAATGTGGAAAGCAACCATGTTTGGGAACATTGCTTTAGAGTTTCTTCTTCCTGCTCCTTGGCCTATGGCTCTCCTTGTCTTTCCCTCACTGCTGTGAATCAGTCCCTGGTGCTCTCCACCCCACACCGGAGCCTGCCTCCCCTCCACCCTCCCGGGACCCACCTCTGCCATGCTCAGTCCTCCGTGTCCCAGCCTTCTCTGTCCTGGAGCAGAGAAAGAAAAATCTAATCAGACCTTACACAGACTCAACTCCACTTCCAACCCATAAATTCAGACCTGTCCTAAGAATTCCAATTGTGAGCATGCGCTTAGGTCAAGTTGACAGAGGTTAAGAGTTCTGGCTCTGCTACTCGCCACTGTATATAGCAGTGATTCCCAAAGTGGGCGCTACCGCCCCCTGGTGGGCGCTGCAGCGATCCAGGGGGCGGTGATGGCCACAGGTGCATTTGTTTTAACTTTTTTTGTATTACCTTTCTATTCTGAGTTCAATAAATAGTTTCATAATTTCAAACTTCAATGTTTCTAATTTATACCTTTCTTTACTATATTTTACGAAAAAGGTAGAAACATTAATACATATATCTTTCTGTTTAATTGCTATTAAAATTTTTAAAAAAATTAATTTCCAGGGGACGCTGAGTAATATTTTTTCTGGAAAGGAGGTGGTAGGCCAAATAAATTTGGGAACCACTGGTATATAGACTTGGATGAGTTACTTCATTTCTCTGAGCCTTCATTTCTTCATTTGTTGGGTAGAGGTTAGAATGATGCCTAGCACAGGTATTACGGAGACTAAATGCATATGCAGTTTTCAGCAGGGTCTAGTCCACGAGAAGCATCCAGTGAATGTTAGCTCTCAAACAATATGGGTGAAAAAACTAGGTACCGGGTTGTGGAGAATACAGATGTGTGGTAAGCATGCAGAGCAGCAATATTGGCAAAGACGTGGACAATGTGAGATCCATAATTTGGCAATCCGGGACTTCAACTGGGAAGAAGGAGCTTGGTCAAAGTTAATATCCAGTATTTTGGCATTGAGAACTATTAAGATGCATGGCCAAGCAATTTTTAAAGAAAGTACCTTAAAACTTAAATGTGTTAGAATTTATTATTATTTAAAACGTCCATCTATGAATAATTTTATGAAGATAGTTTTAATGAGTGTTTGATGAATGAATGAAAATTCAAAACTGAAAAATGCATATGCTGCATGAAATGTACAATTAGGTGGAGCCACACATAAGAAGTGAATTGCTTGCTGCTTACACAGAGTTCACAATTAACTTTGAAAAATTTATCTCGGTTGCAGGTAGCCTCTATCTATAAAGACCCCACTATTGGAAATTTAATTAATATTGTTGTTGTGAACTTAGTTGTGATTCATAATGAACAGGTAATCAAGTTTTTTTCTTCTTTCTTCTCTCTGTATCCGAAACGGCATGTGCAATCGGTACAACAACCAACCATCACTCTTTTCTGTGCTTAGGAGGGACCGCCCATCTCTTTTAATGCCCAGACGACATTAAGGAAATTCTGCCAGTGGCAGAAGAACAACACAGGTGCGATCCATCACGATACTGCCATTCTGATCACGAGGTACGCAGTCCTGAGGCTTCTCATCTCGCAGTTTCCAGGCAAGGTGATGGGAGGTGTAGGCTCCCGGCAGCCAGCCCCCGGGACCAGGCTGTTCCGCCTCAGCACTGTGGCAGTTGGGAGCAGATAACTCTGTTGTGAGGCGTCCTGTGCATGTCAGGATGCCTAGCAGCATCCGGGTCTCTGCCCATTACTGACCAGTAGCATTCCCTCCTCTCAGTTGTGACCTCCCACAGTATCCTCAGCCCACAGAGGATGCCAAATGCCCTGTGAGGGCGGGGGTGGGTCGGGGTGGGGGAGGAGAGCACACAATCACCCCTGTTGGGGACCACTTACCCGAAGGTGCTGCGTTGGGCAGGCCTGAAAGAAAGTGGCCTTCTAGGGGGCCAGCGGCTCTTCAGATGGAGCCTGTTGTTACCAGGCGGGGTACAGTCCAGTGCTGCCAATTTCTGCGATTTTGCAAGGAGTCGGAGATATGCATTTGTCTATAAAGTAAACTCTCCCAATGTTTAAATCGTAGCTGCTACCTAGAAAATATTCTCAAAAACTGTCTGGTGCAGAAAAGAGGCCCGCTGGCTTGCCATGCTGCCACCATGCGCCTCGGATTCGCTCCCAGGCACGCACTCATGAGCACAGAGGAGAGGCCTGTTGTCAGGAGTCTTTGGCATTAACTAGAATCACTTCCTCGGTGTATGAGGAAAAACCCTGGTCGGAAAGGTTTCTGCGGTCCCAGGCCACCCCTGAGGCAGCAGGAGGCCTTTCCATGTGGCTTTCTATCCTGAAATCAGTGGTTTTGTAACCCCCTCCCGACTGCGGGTGTGTTGTGAGGCCTGGAAGGCTCTGAAGTGGTGGCTGGTACGGATGTTTCCTCTCTGGTGTCGTCAAGGCCCTAAGTGTGCTTTGCTTTCAGACAGGACATCTGCAGAGCTCAGGACAAGTGTGACACCCTAGGTGAGTCGGCTGTGCGGTCCTCTGCGCTCCAACCCTTTCCTGCATGTTTTCACTCTTAAGCCACAACTGCCTGTTCAAGTAAACCCTTGTTCTTTCCTTCCCATAGGTCTGGCTGAACTGGGAACCCTTTGTGACCCCTCCAGAAGCTGTTCTATTAGCGAAGATAATGGATTGAGCACGGCTTTTACCATAGCCCATGAACTGGGCCATCTGTATGTTTCCTTTCCCTATTTTCCTTGAGTTCAGAGTGACCTAAACTTTCTTCCTCTGCCACAGTGAGCCTTTCCTTGCCTTTCGAGGGCAAGACACTTCTCGAGTCACAGTAGAATTTGCAGGATTGACACACTTTGACCCTTGAAGGGAGAAGTGACTTTGGTTCCGGAAAGCTGAGTGAATGCCGTGCACCCTCTTTGGCCGCAGCCCCTGCGGATCTTTGGTTTAATTGCACACGTTTTCTATGAAAAGTCTAATCTTCTCCCTTCCTACTGGGAATCGGAGGAGGAGGGCTTGACATCTTTGTCAAGGAAGATCCATCATTGCCCAGCTCATGAGATTTTCACAAATCCAAATCCTCCCTGCTTCTGGTTATATGCCTATAATTCAGACAGGGATACGCCTCTGTCATGGGAGAGAATGAACAAAGAGAGAGCAAGGAAAACATGAATTTTGGTCACTGAGTGGTCATTGTGAAACTGGTTTTTCCTTTTGTTCTTTTAGAGGCAGAGCATGGTTAGAACATGTGGCAAAATAGTGTAAATTTGCTAGAAACTATTCTGCTATTTGAGCTGCATCATTTTCTTTCCATAAGTAATAATTAAATTACTTACATCTTTTTGAAATCATTTTCTCAGATGTCACTAATGGAGTTGCATATCAATTTTCATGTCAGATGTTAACTTCATAACTGAAATCATCTGTGAAGCAAGCTCGATCATCCACCAGGCTTCCGAAGGCACCTCTGTGCAGTGTGCAGTGCTAGGCTAAAGCAAGGCAGATAGATAGGTATCTCTCCACTTCAGTTCAACATAGAATGGGTATATTTCAAAACTAGCACCTTTCAAGCATATTTTAAGAGCATACGCCTTTTCTTTTCTCTAAAGGAAATGTGATCAGATACCCAATATTGATAGCGCACAAAAACTTGGCTTTCGTTAAGCAGCTGTGGTGGCCAGAGTTCCATTAGTCAGCTTGCTCTCTGTCCTTTTGGTTTCTCAAATGCTGTCATGAAATTCGAGGATTTATTGGAACTCAGTTTGAAAACTACTGATCCCCCCAGTGTTTCCCAAAGCACAGGAATTTGAACACCATTTCCAAAAGAATGGTCGGTGAAAACAAAAGTTTTGTAGTCTGATATTCTTTATTTTTCAATTACAGTTGACATTCAGGGTTATGCTATGTTAGCTTCAGGTGTACAGCAAAGTGGTTAGAAAAGCATGTACTTTCCAGAGTGGTCTCCCTGCCACTTCAAGTGCCCACCTGGCCCCAGACTAGTTATCACATACTAGTTATCACATACTAGTGATCATGATATTAGTGACTCTGTTCCCTGTGCCGAACTTTACATCCCTGTGACTGTTCTGTAACCACCAATTGGTACTTCTTAATCCCTTCACCTTTTTCCCCAGCCCCACCCCTTCCCCTCTAACAGTTATCTGTCTCTATTTTGTTTGTGTGTTTATTTGTTCATTAGATTCCACATATAAGCGAAGTCTTTCTCTGTCGCACTTATTTCACTCAGCATAATACCCTCTAGGTCAGCGGTTCTCAACCTGTGGGTCACAACCCCTTTGGGGGTCGAATGACCCTTTCACAGGGGTTGCCTATGACGATCAGAAAACACATATATAATTACATACCGTTTTTGTGATTCATCACTATGCTTTAATTATGTTCAATTTGTAACAATGAAATTGGGGGTCACTACAACATGAGGAACTATATTAAAGGGTCATGGCATTAGGAAGGTTGAGAACCACTGCTCTAGGTCCATCCATGCTATTACAGGGAGAAAAATGAGTTTTGTAAAAGTGATTTAAAATTTTTCTTTTTTTACTGAATTTTTTTGGGTGACATTTAGGTTTTAAGTGTACAATTCCATAATACATCACCTGTATATTGTACTGTGTGTTCACCACCCAGTCAAGTCTTCTTCCATCGCCCTTTATCTCCCCTGTACCCTCTTCTACCTCCCCCACACCCTTCTTTCCCTCTGGTAATCACCATACTATTGTCTATGTCTAAGAGTTGTGGTGGTTGTTTTTTGCTTAATCCCTTTACCTTTTTCACCCAGTCTCCCACCCCCTCACTCCCTCTGACAGCTGTCAGTCAGTTTGTTCTCTGTATCCATGAGTCTGTTTCTATTTTGTTTATTTTGTTCATTAGATTCCACATATAAGTGAGATCATATGGCATTCATCTTTCTCTGACTGGCGTATTTCACATACTCTCCAGGTCGCTTCTCAGCCTTATGGCTAAGATCAAATGTAGTATCTGTTCTTATCAGTTTAGCAGTCATGTGAGTTTAAAAAATGTTTGTCTAGTCTGTCCCTGGTTGGAGTCACAGGGCTAAATGGTACAAAATAAAGGCTCTGACAAGTTCTATAGTAAACTGTTGATTTTGTTTAACTTGGTTTTCCCAAACCTATTTTAACAGAATCTTTTAGGAATATTTGTTTATTTTACATAAAATGTAATACATTTCTTTGGGAGTGTAGGTAGGAGGGTAGATTTAACCGTGAAGACTAGGTGGCATTTCAACAGGGCTGCTGTTCCTTTCCTAGGGAATGGAATAGGAAAAGTTACAAATAGGAAGGCATTCAAAGGGTGGAAAATTTCCATTAGCAGACTAACATTTCTCCCCAACATATGGCTAAGAAAAGTGTACCATTTGAAGAAATATTATTAATTTCCTTCCAACAAGAGCTTATAAACTTCTTTTAGACTGTGTATAACATTGACATTTTGAGGAAAGTGAGAATTTTGAGTAGCAAAAACTAAATTATTTTCAGCTGTTGAGAAAATTCAATGCATAGTTAACAAACATCTTCCCTGCACAAAACCCAAGTCGGCGGCATAGTTAGAGGGGCTTTCACTTCCATGATGCCCTTTAGTCCTCACCAGTCGCACAGGTAGGGGTTGTTGTTCCTCTGGGCCTGACCTGGCGGTACTACGCTGGGGTACCTGCTTTCAGGCAGAGGTCGTTTGGGAGCCAGAGACCAAGTTCTGGACTGAATGGTTCCACATTCTGCTTGACTTGAAATTGTATGCTGTTTCCCTACCTGTGAAGTGGGCACAATACATATATACCACTTCTCAAAAGTATCAGAAAGTGAAATATGAAATCTGGTGGATGAGGTGAGTTATTAGTTAAACGAAAAGTATATTCCTAACCCTTTAATGAATTCTTTTTATTTTGATGCTTTGTCTCATGAAGTTAGGTTTACTCACAGTGAAGGAAAGTGAAAATCACAGATTTTCTACTGAACCTTTTAACAATTACATGTTAAGGTGTTTCTGATGATAAAAATCCCAACACAGCCATTCGGGGTGGGGTGGGGGGGAGGGGAGGGGGAGAGGGCGGGGAGAGCAATTGCTCTTGTATCTGTTGAGTGTCATTGGATGCCTCACAAACAGCCCCTCCCCTCTTGCACCAGAATGTCCATAGACACAGAGTGGAAAAGGAAGATGGGGAGGTAATTCAGTGTCTTCTGGATATAGAAACCTTTCCACAATATTCCTGACAAATCATCACAACTCATCTAACAAGAGGGACTATCGTTTGTATATACTCCCAAACAAGAGGTTTTAGAACCAGACTAAAGCAGATTCCAATCCCAGTTCCCCCATCTTAGTAGCCTTACGACCTCAATCAAGTAATTAAACCTCTACAACTCAGTTTCCTTACCTGTAAAACATGGATAGTAATTGTATTATTCATTGGGTCAAATAGGTAATTACGTGAAAAAAAGCATCTGACACATTTAACACACTGTCCTGTGTGTTGTGAATGCAAAAAAAAAAAAAGTTTTGGTTATTATTGGTTAGTAAGTGCTTAATGAATATGTATTATTACCTAGCCCCTGCGTTGAGCAAATGTGCCTGATATTTGAATGAAAAGAAGTTTTCTGATTACGTGATGAAATAGAGTGGATTTAGTCAAGCTCTGGTGGGGGGTGGGGAGTAAACACCAGCCCCTTTGCACAACAGAGAACTCAACAGCTAAAGTCGATTTGGATGCTTGGCTTGGGTTGGCTTTGGTGGTACAGGTAGTAGAAACTAGAAACCTGGGCAGTCATTCTTTTAAGAAAATCGACTTGTAAGCATTAAGAACTCCTTTTAAGTTCAAACAAGACAGTTCGAGTTTTTCCATCCTACAATTTCCATTAGGCAGTTATTCCATCTGGTAATTATTGTGGACCCAAATGTTTTTTAATATATATTTATTGATATCAGAGAAGAAGGGAGAGGGAAAGAGAGTTAGAAACATCAATAATGAGAGAGAAACATTGATCGGCTGCCTCCTGCACGCCCCACACTAGGGATCGAGCCCACAACCCAGGCATGTGCCCTGACCGGGAATTGAACCATGACCCCCTGGTTCATAGGTCTACACTCAACCACTGAGCCATGCCGGCCAGGCATGGGACCCACATTTTTGAAAGAAAAAGAAAACCAAACACATGAGAAATCAATGGGCTGGACCTCACAGACTTTTATCCCAGCTTCTACTTTTATATGAAGCAAGTCTACACACTTCTAACTCTCTGATTTCCACTTTCAAGATGAGCTAGTGAAGTAAATTCCTCCCTACATGCTAAATTATTCATATGCATTAAACTTGTGATTGGGGAAAGTCATGCAGACAGGACAGCCCTCTGAGCTTGTTGGCCAATGGGTAGTTATCGAGCTGAGAATGGTATGTTGATCATACAACTGATGTTTCTGGGATGACAAATGCTTCTCATCAGTTAATAAAAATGTTTTTGGACAGGTGCATTCTTGAAATCAATGATAACAGCTTGATCCCTTGGTATTTATTGACATTCTCATCCTTGTCTCGTTGGCCTTAGGTTTAATATGCCTCATGACGACAGCAATAAGTGCAAAGAAGACGGAGCCAAGAGTCCCCAGCAGGTCATGGCTCCAACATTGAACATTTACACCATGCCCTGGAAGTGGTCAAAGTGTAGTCGAAAATACATCACTGAATTTTTAGAGTAAGACTTGAACTTTCTTGTAGCACAGACTTCTGGTATCTGGCCTTCGTGTAGTAATCTAATTGTGGGGGGAAAATTGTAGAGCTAAGCATTTTTTTTAGTTGTTTTTTTGTTGACATTCCTTGGAGGAGGAAAAAAAAATACTCTGCCATCTGTGCAGTTCATGTCTTTGCCCGAGTTCAAAAGATTACAGACTGAGCTAAAAAGAAAATTGAACCTTACAGAGAATGTGTAAATGTTGCTTTATTCCTGGTAAAGTTAGGAAATCTGTTCCGATCCTGGGGGAGGGACCATGAATGTGATTATATGATGAAGAAAGTCCACAAATATTTATGGGCTTTAACTTCGTCATTTTGGCTTGGAGAGGGGTAGGATAGTGAGGCAATCCCAAAGAAGTTATGTGGTGGATGAAAATTGCAGCACAACTTCCTGTTGTTGAATGGAGGACCGATCTCTCTCTCTCCTCTCTCTCCTTTCTCTCCGCTCTTTTCTTGTTTTGTTTTTTAAGCTTCCTGCCAGGGTGCTCACAGATCCAATTACATTGTACAATATCCCTGTGTCACGGACTTATTGCTTTTCTCTCCCAGAAGTACGAAAGGTTAAGTGATTGTCCGGAGGTCATTGGGTGTATATTTCTGCAACCACAGGAAAGAGAGGGCTTTATTAGTCAGAACTCACTGGGTGTGAATTTTCCAGAAGTGTTTGTAGAAAAGTCAAAAGGCCTGGAGGGCTACTGGTTTTCCTCTTAATCAGGTGGCCTAAGGTGTTTCTCAAGAAAGTTGTTAATTAACTCACTCATCTATTCAACAAACATTTACTAAACATCGGTTGTTATGGAAGATGAAAAAGACACTATCTTTGCTGCTAAGAACTTACAGTCTTTTGGAAAAGATTGTAACAAAATTAAAAACAAAAAGATAATTGCCCTGAAATGTGATGAATGCTATAACAGATACATCTTTCCTACTAGCTGGGCTGTATACATAGCCAATCAGAGTACAAACAAGTATACACCAAAATATATAACTTCAGCTTCTAGATTTAACCCTGGGTGAAAAGAATAAAACAGATATAAGAAAGGAACTGTCCTGCGCTAGCCGGTTTGGCTCAGTGGATAGAGCGGCAACCTGTGGACTGAAGGGTCCCAGATTGGATTCCAGTCAAGGGCACATGCCCGGGTTGCAGGCTCAATCCTCAGTGTGGGGCGTGCAGGAGGTAGCTGGTCAATGATTCTCTCTCGTCATTGATACTTCTATCTCTCTCTCCCTCTCCCTTCCTCTCTGACATCAATAAAAATATATTTTTAAAATTAAAAAAAAGGAACTGTCCACCCTACCATTACAATGGCAGATGGCCTTCCCTTTCAACTGGAGGTGTTGACAAGCCATGAGTCACCCACCACACTCACCATCTGTATTTTTGCTTTCCATAGCACTGGTTACGGCGAGTGTTTGCTTAACGAACCTGGATACAGACCCTACAGTTTGCCTTACCAACTGCCAGGCCTCCTTTACAATGTGAATAAACAATGTGAACTGATTTTTGGACAAGGTTATCAGCTGTGCCCATATATGGTAAGTGTTTGGGGGTTGATTCTGGACTTCTTTTTATTCGTAGTTTTCCATTAGATTTTCACCCTAATATAAACCACCCATGGAAAAGTTGAGAATGGTCCATTGACTCTTAATGGAAGTAGAAATGACGAAGGTGATAAGTAGTCACAGTGTTCACTGGTAGATGGTGCTTTCTCCGCACTTTCCCATTTCCCTCTTGGGACAGTCCAACAGGAGATGCTCACAGAGGACAGGGTGCAGAGCTGGTGATGGCCGAGCTCAGCCCTTCTCTCTCCTCGTCTCTTCTCGTGCCCATTGACCTGTCTAGTTGACCTTTATTAGAGGAATTCTTCTAGATTCAGTAAAAGTAACGCATGAGACAAACCTGTTTCCCTGTTTTAGCTCATCAAAGCTGTTCCTGTGAAATCATTTCTGGTGGTAGCTCAGCTGGTGGGTGTGTGGCATTTTGATGTATGTGTTGTGGACATGTGGACCAATGATATGATCCAGTGGCCCTCAGATTTCAGAGGAGCTGAACTGTGCTTCTTTGGGGTGCCCCATTTTATCTCACTGGGTATATGTGTTTGTTCGTTTTGCTGGGAGAAATTTCAGAAATAGCATGGTGAATTGGGAAGTACAGTGATTCCATGGAAATACATAATAAGATATTTTGAGTAAAATCTATCCATGATTATATTCATTTCTGTGTTATTCTTGATAGTAAACTTTAGGAGTAATCCAAATGCCCAATAATAGAAATGTTGAGCCAATTATGGTGTCTCTAGTTAGTGCAATACTATACAACAATTAAAAATTAACTACACTTGGAAACATGATCCTGATATCTTTTAAGTTAAAATAACAGGATAAATAATTATTTTGTAGAGCATGTTTTCAACTGTAAAAGCCAAGAAGCTACAGGAAAGACTGAGTAGTTTGAGGCTCTTCTATTTTTTTAATAAATAAATTATTCACCCTGGGTGGTATGCTAAGTGGTTAGAGCATCGTCCCATGCACTAAAGAGTCTTGGGTTCAATCTTGGTCGAGGACATGTACCTGGGTTACAGCTTCAATCCCTGGCCCCAGTTGGGGTGTGTGTGGGAGGCAACCAATGTGTCTCTCTCACATTGATGTGTCTCTCTCTCCCCCCCCACCCATGTATCCCTCCCTTCTACTCTCTCTAAAAAAATCAATGAAAAACATTTTTGGGTGAAGATTAATATAAAATAAAATAACATTTTAGTACTTTCTAAATGTCTCTATTATGAGCATGGTTTAGTGTAATAATCAGGAAAAAGTTCTTTAAAATGTATGTCCTGAAATAGAGCTAACTATATCAACTTGTGTAAATCTAAAACATACTGTGTGCGTGTGTAGAGGGGGAAAGCAAGTTGCAAGGCCTATGAGCATATCCTGAAATGCTGAATGCTATTGTTTGTTTCAAGTTGAAATGTATAACATACATTTGGGGTCAAAGCAACGCGAGCGAAGAAAGGATGGCCACCACTCAGGACAGTGGTCATCTCTGGGAGAAGGGGAAGGGATTGGGACTGAGGAGGGATGTACCAGGCCTTCAGCTGGGCCTGTGAGGTTTTCATTCTTTAGTTGGGTGGTGGGTCCATGGCTATCCATTATGTGGCTGTTTGCACTTTTTGTAAGTCTGAAATGTTCACAATAGTTTGTCCCTTTTTCCCTCTGATAATTCCTGACACCCTAGAAAGGAGTCATCCGATGACTGTGGAATTATGCAGCCTACCAGAAGAAAGCACTAGTTTTGCGGTCAGGCCAAACCTAAAGTGAAATCGCAGCTAATCCCAACACCTGATCTCCAGTCGCACTGGATGCACGGAAGCCCCCTTTTCACACCATCTCACGTCCTGCCAGCAGTAGACATGTGTCTCAGGAGCTGGCCTCTGTGTCCCTCGGAATATTTGGTCACTTATCATACCAAGAAATCAAACCCCTTTTCAACCAATTCTGTAACATTGGCAAAACATTAACTGGACGTAATGCTGGCCTTGTTTGCTGTCATCTAATCATGTTGTCTCTGATTGTCATGTCACTGAAATAGCAGATGCAGTGCCGACGACTCTGGTGCAGTAACGCGGACGGAGCGGATATAAACAGCAAAGGCTGCCAGACTCAGCACACGCCCTGGGCCGATGGCACCGAGTGTGCGCCTGGAAAGGCAAGTAACGCCCCAGCCCTGCCTTCTGCCTTGGGGCAGAAATGGGCAAGGTTTCGGCTGCAGGGCCAGTCGCCGCCGTTGGCTGTTAATGCAGCGTGTTTTAGCATGTAGGATACTTTTTTGAGGCAAAAGGTTTCGTTTTACTATTGAAAATGGTGATAACTTAAAATTGTTGCTTAATATTGGTCCAATGCACATGGCTATAACTATTACCTCCATTTTAAGACATACTTGTTCTCATTTTGATATTTCTGAAACCCCAGTGTGCTTTTTAATGTATAGGTACATTTAATGTGAGGTAATCTTTCTTTTTCTTCTTTCTGTCTCTTTTGGAGGTGGCAATGGAATTCTATTCATATATGCTGAAACATCTTAAAACCAAAGTAACGGAGAAATACAGTAAACTTACTGTGTTCACTACTGGGATGCCAGGCTTTTCCCAACCTTTGTCCCTTTAAGAAGTGATGATGTTACCTGGGATATATCCAAGTCCAAATTCTCGGTTGGTTCCCACATGTTAGTAACCACACAAAATATGCTACTTGCATGGCCCGATGATAACAATATCCCATGCATCTAGGAGCATGATTAATGCAACTTGCTTCACCTGGTATCCATCTCAGAAAAAAAAAAAAGTAACTATTAGTGATATCATCATCACCCAAAAATTTGGTTAGAAAGTGTTTTCTAACCCATATAAACCCTGATTTTTTTAATCCATATGGAAAATGGATTTCACTCAGCAATGATGCAACTCCTGGGTTATATTCTGAGTCCTTTGTCTTTCTTACATATATTTTTCCTGTCTTCTCTCTTCTTCCCATTGTCTACTTTGCTCGCTTTTAATATTTTATTCTCATCTCACATTTTTTCCCTCCACTTTTCCTTATGGAATCAATAGCACCAGTTTCCATGGAAGGGGTCCTAAAGAGATGACAGAACGGAATTCTCTTTTCCCCAATTTTATAGATAGGGAACAGAAAAAGAAGCGGCTTGCCCAACATCTCACAGTTCATTCAGGACAGAGTCCCCGACTCCTGAGCCCCTGCCCTCCGGAACTCCCGCCTCTGTTTGGTCTGAAGGGGCCGTAACTGAGCTTCAGTTTCTATTGGTCAAACAGGAGGACTAGTGGTTTCTTCGCTCATCTCTCAGGCGGTAATAGTTACATAAGCTGGAGGACATGAACATTATTTGAAAAACACAAAAGTTCAATACAAAATTACAATGAAGGTGATTTTTTACTTGTCTTGGTGACTGAATCAGTTCAACTTATCACTTCTTAATGGCTAGGACTTCAACAATTAAGTATACTTGTCTTGGTGACTGAATCAGTTCAACTTATCACTTCTTAATGGCTAGGACTTCAGCAATTAAGTATACACCTTTCCCCAGTGACAACCTCACCAAAGCTACATGCAGACATAGGTACAGCCACCTTTGTACCTTTTATTAGCTTAAAAAGAAATATATCTCCTTGGTCAAAGCGAATCTTGCACTTTTCGTGGGACATTTAACTCAACGTGTTGATGGCCAGAGGGTCATAGCTTTGAGTGGGGAATAGGTTCTTGGGTTTTCATGGCAGCCTTTAGGAATTCACTCATCGTTATGAAATGAAGAGGCCTCAGAGTCCTAAACACAGTGGCCCTGACAGCTGCCACCAGTTGGTGGGAGATGCCAGTAGACATGATACCCTGTTGACGACTTGGTGAGTGGGCTTGACTTAGAGCCAGTCAACTACGTTACTTACATCGAACCTGCTTAATCTCAGAAAAATCACTAGCATTGTGTTGTGGTTCTTAGTCAATCTGATGTACCCACCCAGTATGTCCATTTCTGACACATGCTATTGCTTTAAGAAACTCTAACAAAGAAGGATTCTCAATAATATGACTCAGTGAATTACATTTAGTAAGTTGTCATAAACAGGCTGCCAAGTGCCATGTAGTGACATGGTATCCCACTCAATCCTGGAACACAGAACGTGGGAGGATGTCTGTTGTGTCCTTTTCCAATCTTCTGTTTTTGTAGCAGACGCAGATGATAAGGGGCTGCAGGGTAATCTTATGCCTGAGGGATGGGAAATGTGGAAGATCTTTCAGAAGGCTTTTTCAATGTGTGCTCCAGTTCAGCAAGAATGAGGGACTTCAGGGCATTCCAAGGGCAGATTCAGAACACGTTCTGGGCAGCAACTCTGCAGAGAAAATGATGGGGACCTTTCTAGTTGTGTTTTAGGAAAGTGGGGAAAAGTGTCCGAGTCTAGTAGCTTTTACTAAAGAACTGGGGATATATGTGTGTTTATTTGCCTGGAGAGTATTTATGCATTTTACAAATGCCAGAGATGTTGGCATAGAAATTCTGTGTGTTCTTCATTTTGTTTTTATAGAATTGGCAGTAAAACCATACACTTTCCTCTAGCAAATTCAGCCTCCCTTGGCGGAGGGGTTCATTTTTTTCCTTTCTCTTCATCCCGCCCTGCTCCCTCTGCAGGGAGCTCTCCCGAGCTGCTGACAAATGTTATTGTGATGAACGTCTCTGTCTCTTTATTTTCCCCATTCTCTTGTTAAGTCCATTAACATTTTTATTTAAGCCCTGTTTGTGAGTCCCAGGTTTGAAACTTCTGTTTTAAGCCTGCTTGGCACAAAATTGATCCCCAAGTCCCTTTTCCAACCTCTTTTTTTTTTTTTTTTGAAGCGACTTGGCGATTATTTAGGTAGAATATCATTTAAATGGATCTGGACACTTTTAGGAAAAGCTGACTATATCTTGGCTGGGGTTCTACCAGCCACTTAATGATTTGTTATGATGTAAGGGCTCTTCCAATATGTAATTATTGTTTGTCAGCTTTGCCTGGAAAAATAGACTATCTTGGTACATATTTGCCAAACAGCCACGATTCCCAGCCTCTGTCACCTGAGGCAGTCCCCTGCTCCTCTGAGGTTCTTCCTCTCCTCTGAATACCTGTCCACGGTCACATCAGTAAGACGTGTTTCCTTTGTAGACCAGTGTTCAATTAGAAGCTTACTTTTTTAAAGGGACCATGTTAGGACATTTGCGTGCAGTGCTGAAAGGTAGCACTCTGGCATTTTTCTCTGAAGTTTACTGTTTGTTCTTCTATGGAAGTAGCGTCTATAGAATAGAGAGAGCAACAGACTGCAAACAGTGTCAAAAGGAGAAAAAAATATATATCCAGGCAATTTCTTATTATTAAACTCCATGAATCGTCATAGGAACTTTTTCCTTACTTTGTGGAATTTATAAACTGTGTATCTGGCACCAAGACTGGAAGGCTGAATTTGGGCAATAGCTATGACCTCAATTATATATTCATTAGAAATGTTGTCCAGGTCAGACCCAGTTATAGTAGTGTAAGCAAACTGCATCTTGTTTTTTTTTCTGACACAAAAAAACTAGTCCACATTGAAACAGGTTATGGAGCTGTTGTGGCAGCTCCCCCAAATCATCAGAGACCCAGGCTCCTAATTTCTTTCTACTCCACTATCACATGCAAATGGTCTTCATCTTCAAAGTCACAAAATAGCTGCTGCAACTCCAGCCATCAAGTCTGAGTTCCAGGCAGAATGAAGCCAAAGGACAAGGAACAAAGGGGCAAAGAACCTTCCCAGAATCTCACCCAGTGAATCCTGCTAACATCTCTTTGACCACTCTTATCTGTTTAAGAATCGGGGGATATACAGAGTCTGTACCAAGGATGAAAGGGAGAGTGGATATCAAGTAGACAACTTAGATTTACCAAACCATTAATTTGCTTTTATTTTAAATTTCAGTCTTTATTTAGATGTCAGAATGGCCCCATTTGCTCACAATGGAGAGACAGGCAGCATGTGTCACAGCTAGGGGTGCACTCGAGTCAGATGGTCTAATGGTTAGGCTCTGCCTCTTACTGAGGTTTTGCCTAAACCCCTTTGTTCCTTCCCTTGCTTTTCTGTAGAAACGGGGGTAATTAACAGTACTACTTTGTCGTGTGCTGTGAGAGTTAAGTAAGTTAATATGGATGTTAAGTAAGTTAATAATGCTTAGCACAGGGCCTGACAAATATTAAGTGCAAATGTTTGCCATTATTTTTGCTAACTCTAAGTCTGGTCCCTGTGTGCTCAGCTGTGTAGTGGGTGCTTAGATGCACTGTGCCCTGTTACACTCCAAGACAACTTTGGTCGCTTTTCATCTGTGGAAGCAGAGTTCAGTGACTCCCCGAAGGGCACAGCGCTGTTAGTGGAAACTAGACTTTTGCTGTACACCTGTCCCTGTGCTGTCCAGAATGGCAGCCACTAGCCACGTGCGGCTGGTGAGCATTTGAAATGTCAGTCTGAACTGAGATGTGCTTACGTGGAAAAACACGCCAGGTGTTGAGACCTAGATGGACAAAAGGATTTAAAAACTCATTTATAATTTTGTGTTGATTATACATATAGAAATAATAACGTTTCAGATATTTTGAGCTAAATAAGAGATATTAAAATTAATTCCCGTTTTCTTTTTGTTTTAATGCGGCTTCTAGGAACTGTTAGTCTGGCTTAAAGATGTGACTCAAGTCGCATTCTCCTTGGGGAGTGGCGCTCTAGACCAGCGGTCGCCAGCCTTTCGGACCTCACGGGCCACCAGTTGGCGACCGCTGCCTGGACAGCTGCCGCTGTCATTTATCCCTAGTGCGTGTGTGCCCAGAATGTTCAAGACCAGGGTAGAGGCGCATGGGAAGTGGCTTCAGGGGTGTTGTGGGCACCTCTGCCTCTGCCCACATGTCTTGGGTACCGAGTTGCCCAGGATTCTTTGGAGGCAGAACCTTTTAGGTCTCAGCCAAACAGCCCAGGGAAAGGGACGAGTCCTCAGATACTCGGAGAAGTTACTTACGAGGGAGAAGACACAGCAGAATAGACAGTTTAATTACACTCGTTCACCAAGTCTTTCCTGGGACCAGCCATTCAGACTGGGACCTTCACCTGCCTCTTTTTGCTCACTTTCCCCAAATATGAACCCACGCCCACCCCTCCTCCCGCCCCCCCCCACCCCCTCCCCCTGGCCTTCCTGGCTCCAGGCCTGTGCCCTCCCTGTGGATAAGTCGCACTCGCTCTGCCTGGAGACCTGCGTGAGCTGCGGGGCATCACCCTCCTGCCGCCTGGGCTGCCACCCTCCCTTTGTCCCCTGCTCAGTGGCCTCGGCTTTGTGTCAGGCCTCACGCCGGCCATGGCAGAGGCCTGAGATGGTTTCTTGGCCTCCCTTGTCCTGCTGAGGACTTTTGTGTTTTGTTTTGTTGTAAACACCATGGCCTCCTTCCTGCTCGGGGCTGGAGAATGTGAAACCATTAGTAACGAAAAAGCAATAAAGCTCAGGGCTCTCTGTAATGTGTCCATTTGGCTTTCGTGTGTCCTCGTGCCTTGTGGAGTGATCATATAGGAATCCTGGAACTAGCCTTTTTTCTTTCCTGTTTCATTAAAAAATGGGTTTTCAAATCCATGGGAAGCAGTAAAGCATTGTATTTTAACAGGCTCGCAGCATCTCTGGGCCTTGTTATTGGAGACTTGCTCTGCAAATCCAGTAACTCGTTTTGGCTCTGGCTACAGCCAGTGTGTCCATTTCCACTCCTTATTTCTCCACGTTGACTCACTGAGCACCTCGAAGCTGGCCACCCTGACCAGCCTGGAGCCGACCACTCGTTGGCCAGCTTTATTCAAGCCAGTTGTAAATGAAGACTCAGCCTAAAATCAATAAGTCGGAGATTAAAAGCCCTACAGGGTCCATCACTCACATAGCTGATGGCACTGCAGCCTTTCCCACCGGCACCTGGAAGTCAGTTAGAACAGGGTGTATTGGAAGGACAGCGGGTCCTGCAATGTCTCAGCACCGAGCTCTCCCTCATTGTTCCCTTATTAAATACAGCACTGCAAGTTTGGATTTTGTGTTCCCAAAGAAATGGAGCCCCCCGCGATTGATGGATCCTGGGGAAGTTGGACTCCGTTTGGAACCTGCTCCAGAACGTGTGGAGGGGGCGTCCGCAGCGCTGTCCGGGAGTGCAACAGACCAGCGTAAGTCCAGAACTCCTCCCTGTCACTGCCGGGGTAGCAGGAGCGAAAAACGCCTGAAGGGAATCGTTTAGCTGGGGGCAGGCGAAGAGCTCTTTCCAAATTAAGAGAGTGGGTGGACTTCTGGGGCTGCCAAAACGAATGTTTATTATTTCCTCCAATGCTCCTTTATTATTAAAAGTTTTCTCTACCCAACAGTAGATGCGTTTGTGTTTAACAACTCTGACAGGCAGGCATAGCTCACTGCCCCCCAGAGCTTGCACGCTACTAAAGTAAACAGATAAATTTTTCCTGCGGAAACAAATAAACCGGCCATTTGCATCCAGATGATAGAGAAATGCACCCTTTGCAGTGAGCTTCTCGGATGCTGGGAAGGGTACCCAGACCCCCAAGGCAGCATCGGCAGATCCCAGTGGATCTGGAACCCCAAGCCAGGAATTACTTTTGAATCAATCCGGTTGTTTCACAGGTGAGACAACCTGCCCGTTTACAGCGTGGGGGTGTCCTGCTCTTCGGGATAACCCTCGTGTGACCAGCCCGGCCTTGTTAGGACTTGCATGGCCAAGTAAAGGCAGTGGGGTTTCCTCAGCACCTATCCTGGCCTGGGTTATCCTGTGTTTGCCGGGGAGGCTATTAAGCAGCAGGTTTTGAAAATTGCTCTCTTCGTTGTGAGGAATGACATTCGATTTTGTGTGGCTAGATAGAAGGTATATCAAATTTAAAGGAATAGAAAACAATAAGGATATTATTGCCACTGAACCTATATAGGTGGGGACACCAAGAAGTCTTCACAGACTCGGCATAGTTTCTAGCTGTAGAAAGCAACAACCATTTTTCAAGAGCCAGCTGCTTTGGGGTAATGTAAAATGATTCGCCCAGCTGTACTCATTTAGTTTTAACAGCCTGCACGCGGGAGAGCAGGTGGGATGCAGAGAGAAGCAGGCAGGTGAAGTAGCAGAGTGGGCTGGCTCAGTACAATAGGGTTGTGTTGCAGAGGGGTGGAGACTACGTGCTGATTGGCAGGAAAAGGGCCTGCTATTGACCAAGCTTCCAGATTTTTTACAAGAAAAATCTGAGTTGTGTGAACCGAAAAACAAATAGCTGTAGGTCATTGTTGCAAGTCCTGCAAATACCCTGTAGCACAAATCACAGATGATGATCAATTAATTTTAATATATTCTTGTTCACAGCCCAACATTGAGTTCACGTCCACATATTAGTAGTCTCTATAGAAAACAACTATAGAGCTATGAGATACAGACTCTGGTTTATAAAACTAACACTATAGCTATGTACATAAGCGAATAAACATTAGATTTTCCCATATTTAGTATTTTTTTAAATAATGGTATAAAATAGTACATGCTTTAAAAAATGTAAATACAAAAGTATATGATATAAAAACTCCTATCATTGTTATTTCTAACCCCCAGTTACCCCCACAAGAAATAACTGCCAAAAACAATTTTATGTATTGTATGAAATAAGCATTATACAAAATCAAGATCACACTAGATAGTGTTCTACAACTTGCTTTTTAAAATCAAGTATGTAGCTATTTGCTCTGTTGAAATTTTAAAATAAAACATTTAAAGCCAACAGCAAATATGAATTTTTAAAAAAGTAAAAACTAGTGGGTGGTTACAGTGAGCCAAATTATTATTATAGTAAGCTATATTATCATGAGGGTATGGATATTGCAAATAGTGACACTTTTGAAGTTTTGACTCAAGAATATTGTATTCAAAAGAAATGTTTGTTTTTTTCTTTTTTTTTTAAGCATCAGGGCAGTTCTAGAAGTGCTATGGAAGGGAGAGAGAGATGAATCTCTGCATAATGGCCTGGGCCAGACAGACAGTCACCTGCGGGAAGGGCCCCACAGGAAAGGGTCTTGAGCTTCAGAGTGAAGCGAAGATCCTCACATTCAGAAGTTAGGGGCCAATCACGGAGGTCGGCAGTGAGAGGCCCTTGTTCTTGCTGTTTGCTCCCAGGGGTTCTACACGGATGCAGTCCGCCTGGCCCAGTGGCCACACGGACACCACCTCACTACAATGCCCGGGGCTGAGGAAGGACACTGCCTCTGAAGCAAGGTCCCAGTGGACCAGCGAGTCAGTTTGACCAGAGAAGGGGGCACAGAAACGCGAAATCAGATCCAAAACTCAGTTAAAAGCTTGTTACAGAGACATTGGCAGAGCGGATGGTTCATTAGGGACCATAGAAGCGGTTGCTGCCCTGATCCTCAGTCTGAGGGGGGCGGTCCCCCACCGGGGAACCCACTTTCCTCAGTGCCAGAGTTCAATGCCAAGCTCCAACTTCAGAATTCAAGGTTGTCTCTATTAAGAGCACTGGATTGTTTTTAATTTTTCACAGTATCCATGTGATTCAAGAATGCATTTATTTAGCATCTAGACACATTACACTGAATGAGGATTTTTTTCCTGGAAAGTATAAAAGCTGAAAAAGAAAAGTGGCCTTGCTATGCACATGGGTTGTGCCACACCCATGAGAAAGCTGTATAAACCCTATGTTTCTAATTTTAGTCCAAAATCGTGGCCTCAGTTTGTATACAGTGGTTCAGGTTTGCCGTCATGACAATGGGGCCCTAATATTTTGTCTTTAAATGCTTTATTTATTGTTCTTAATTCCATTTTTGACCCAAGTCCTACAGGTAAAAGGAGCATTTGTTCTGGTTCCCATTGGCATCTCTTGCCTTGGGGGGGTTTAATAGCTCCCTTTTTCTATCAAAGTGCCCTGGATTGGACAATTAATTATATGGTCACCCAATCTATGAGAAATATGTAATAGGGCAAAATTTTAAATCATAACCAGCAGATTCTAACTTAGAGTGTCAGAACAAGACCAGCAATGGAACCAGAAGAGGCATGGTCAGGCCAGTGGCCAGCACTTTTTATTTCGGGCTCTCAGTTTGGCCCTGAGCTTCCTGGTAACTGGAAGAAACGGTTTATAGAATTGTTAACGTCCATCAAAGTAAAAAATCAAGCCAGTTCTTTAGGAACGGCAGAGTATTTCCCTCTTCTAGTGCTTCTTTTTTGCTTTTAAATTCGAAGGTAGGTTAAATTTAATAACAATAAATTCATTGATTTAAGAAAAGACAAGATAGTGAACTGGATATTTCTTATTTAGGCTTTCACCATAGCAACTGCTGATGAAATCTTACATACAAGAGAGTAGACATATATGTCTGTTTTGTCTACGAAAATCAGTCTCTCATTTGGCTGTAACAAAACTGCAGCAAAGCTCTTTGAGACACTGAGTTGGATGAACTTATATAAAAATGTCCAGAATTAGCTACTGTGGGAGGGTCATTGACTAATGAGTTAGTATCCAGTTCCAGAGACTGCCCCACTTGGCTGCCCCACTTGGCAGGATCCTCAGTGATGACTAGTGCTGCTTCCTGGCTCGTCCCATCTAATCCCCGAACTCTGCAGTTGGTCATTTAACTCCTTAAAACCCTCCAAACTTAGGAAATACACTAGCTTCGGGGGCTGCTGCTGTATTCTTAGAAATTTCTGCCTTGTGCTGACCCTAATCTGCCTGCCCTAACTCTTTATAAGTAAACATAGAAGTCAAGATTTCTGTTTAAAGCCATTTGCAGATTAAAGGTTGGCTCCCCTTGATGGTAGAATGCACCTGTGATGATCCTTGTAAAATGCCTTCATCCTTGGCTGTGCAGCATTGCGAATTTTCTTTGTTATGTATGAGTAAGCGTGGTTGTGTAATATGTGCTGGAAGGGAAGATTCAGCATGGCTGTGCTGAGTATAGTTACTTTCATAGTAATTAATCTAACAATTTACTTAAGTCCTTTTCATCCCTATTTGACATGCTATATTTTTAAAGGATCTTAATGGTTGGAAAATGTGGTTAATATTTTTTCAAGTTGCATTTCCTATAATTTTCAGTATTTTCCTACATGGAAAAAATACGCCTACCCGGCTAAATTACTAAAGTGTAAAATGAAATTTTCCGGGCTGAAAGGTAAGTTAAGTTGGCTAAAGCCTTCCCCATTAAACAATACATGCAAGGCAGGCCGAGATCACATTGGCTGGGATATAAGATAAGCCATATATTTCAAAAGGGCAAACTTACGTTTATTAATCAAATATAATCTGCCTTTATTATAAAAAGCAAATAAGATCAGAGGACGAGTTTTGATATGAAATGAGTCCTGTTTCAAGAGAGGAGGCCTAGCAGTGAGGCCAGATGATGAGTGAAAGGTCAGGGGACGGGGTTGGTCTCGGCCAGCACATCTCACTTAACTGGCATGTGACCTTGACAGAATGCTTAACATTTCTGAGCCCATTTCTCTCAGTTTCAGACACCAGAATGCCACTGCCCACCTCAGAGTGTATCCCTGCACACTCAAAAGAATAGCTCGGGGCCAGCACACTCTTTCCATAAACGAATACTTTTTCTGTAAAATTTCATAAGTATTTTAGACTTTGAGGATCTTAGTGGCTGTGTTCCAATAAAACTTTACTTATGAACACTGAAATTTTAATTTCACCTACTTTTTATGTATCTCTATTTTTAAAAAATTTTTTTTAACTATTCTAAAATGTAAAAAAACACACATTATTTTCTCGCTGGCTATGTAAAAAAACAGGTCGTAGGCCAGATTTTAGCCCATATGCTGTCGTTTGTAGACCCTTGTAATAGCTCAACATCTATGTGTGGCGGGCCTCGCTCAAGTGCTTTGAATGGATTCACCCAGTTGACTCTCCATGAGCCGATGAAGCAGACAGTAGCATCATCTCCCTGTTACAGGAGGAGAGCAGGCTTAGAGATGCAGCGCCTTGCCTAAGATTGCTCTCTCAGTAAGAGGCAGGGCTGGGATTCAAACCCTCTGTAGGGTCCGACTGGATAACCTCAGAAACATGGCCTCTCACATGGAGTGTTTTCTATAAGTTGTTCGTAAAAATGTCATTTATAGCCCGGCCAGCATGTCTCGATGGTTGAGCATTGACCTATGAACCAGATCACGGTTCGATTCTCAGTCAGGGCACATGCCTGGGTTGCAGGCCCTATCCCCAGTTTGGGGTGTGCAGGAGGCAGCTGATCAACAATTTTCTCTCATCATAGATGTTTCTATCTCTCCCTCTCCCTTCCTTTCCAAAATCAATAAAAAAATATTTTTTAAAATGTCATTTATAAAAATAAATCACTAAATGTGATTTGCCATTTGATAGTGGTCAAAGCAGGCAAAGGTGGAAGGTGTCACCATCTGCGGGGAAGCCACCTACAAGTATTAACTCTTTGCAGCCCAAAGAACTGCTGCATTTGGTCAGTTGCAAGAGTCAGCTAAGACTCATTAGGTAACAGAACCCCCCCCCCCCACCACCAAAAAAACAACAACTTTTAAATGTATTTTCCAAGAGAAAGAGATGTGAATTATTTTCAGGCAACAAATAAATGATCCATCCACCAGAGTTAGTTGGGGCATTTAAAACGATGCACAAAGATCATTTCAATTTGAGGGAAAGGTGAAGGGGCTCTTCCTTGTAGCACATTTAAAACAAGCTTCACCTGCACAGCTATGTGGGCCTGAGCTATTATACATGCGTAACCTGACATTGTATGTATGAGACTTGGGTGCCTTCGTATTGAGAGAAGAGCTTGGTATCCAGGAAACCGAGGCTGTATCTCTAAGTGGCATCAAAAGAGAAAAAGAAAAGATTCCAGGCCATAGCTCCAGATAACATAGCAGAAAGAGTACAGAGCAAGAACCTGGGAAACGTGACCTCTACTCCTGTCTCTGCTCTCTTATGGCTGTGTGACCTTGGGCAAAGTACTTAACTTCTCTGAACCTCCTCTTGCATGGTATTTAAGTACCTCTGCCTTTCTTGGCTAGTCAAATGTACAGTGCAGATTAAAAGCTTATGGATTTAACTGTGTTTAATGGGAAAACAATCAGACAGATACTGCTCGGTTATGTGTTATTTCACATATCTAGATGCAGTCTTCTTCATGGTAACTATTCATAATAAGCTTTACATGTGCAGGACAGAGCTCAGAGAGGCCAGGGGACTTACACAGAAGTGCTCAGCTGTAACTGCAAAGCCCACGCTCTTACCTAACTCCACAATCTCTGATCGAGGGACCACATTAATGACAGTGTCCCGGCCAGGTGGCCCTGCCTGAGGCGCGGGCACGCTGCAGGAGCACCGCATCCTGGCTCGGGATGCAAGCCACGTTGTCGCCCGGATTTGCCTCTCAAACACGCAAACTGCTGACCTGGATCGGTTAGGTTGGGAGTGCTCACATGCACCTCACAGTAGTTAACCTTCCAGGCTTCCACTGTGCGCAGACGTTAGAGAAGGAGAGAACTGAAGTGCAGTGAGACTAAAAGCGTTGTCTATGGTCACTTGGTGAGGATGCGGCCAAGAGCGGAGCCCAGATCCAACTCTTACCTGCTCCTCTGGGCTGCCTCTCTGGGCTTGGATACATTTCCCATTCCTCCAGGGCCTGGTTTAACAAAACAAAACAAAAATACTTCTTAGGGTTCAAATCACTCAAAGATTCATTCCGCAGAAGAGAGGCGGGAAGGTGAGAGAGGTGTCCTAGGGTGGCAGAGAAATCTGAGCTGTACCAGCCCCGGGTGGGTGAGCCAGACTGCCTAGGACTCTGATCTTCCAGTTTCCATGATGAACTTGGCAAGCTGCTGACTGCTGGGAGACGTGTTGTATAATTTACTCTCCGGGTCACATCTGGAAAGTACATGCACGGGTTGCATGCAGAGATTAAATTTGCACTGTGATGCTTTTCAAGCCAAACTCCATACTCTTGCCGTACAAAAGGCAATGAAGCCAGTGTGCTCTCCCGCTTCTATTAAGTTAGTGGAAATACAGGCACATTCATTCCCTTTATTCCATCTTATTTGTAAAACAAACAGATACAGTGGTTATTGGGGGGAAGAGAGGATGGAGGGCATGAATGGGGGTGGGATGCAAAGGTTTAGGGTGGTTTCCCAGACTATCAGTAGGAGAGGCAGACAGGGAGCATTCTAACTACTCATCTGTACCTTTCACCTTTTGCCTTTTTGAAATCGAAGGACTAACTGACTGGGAGAAAGGCGAGAAAATGGGCTCATCGAGTCCAGTCTTCGAATTTTATACTTTAAGTTATACACTTGAAACAGCCTTATCAAATAGCACCTTTCCATTTTACAGATGGGAAGACTGAGGCTCAAGGTTAAGTGACTTGTCCAAGGTTAGACGGTTAAGGGTGTTGAAGGCAGAGTGCAAACGCAGACTCCAGAGCCCTGGCCCTGTTCCCTGTCACCGGCCACTTCAAATGTCCTTCCCTGGAAGACCAGAAGCCACGGGCGAGGGAAATACCTTATAAAACAGCGTGTGTTCTTTCCCTTTGCTCAGGCCCAAATACGGTGGAAAGTACTGTACGGGGCGCAGGATGAAATTTAGGTCCTGCAACACGGAGCCGTGTCCCAAGCAGAAGCGCGACTTCCGAGAGGAGCAGTGCGCTCAGTTTGACGGGAAGCACTTCAACATCAACGGGATCAGTCCGACCGTGCGCTGGGTGCCCAAGTACAGCGGAAGTGAGTGCGCGGTGGGCTGGTCCGGGGGCCCAGGGCGTCCCGGCACGAGGCACACTGCACTCACGGCGTGTCTCCTCTAGTTTTGTTGAAGGACCGGTGCAAGCTGTTCTGCAGGGTGGCCACGAGCACAGCCTACTACCAGCTCAAGGACAGAGTGGTGGACGGGACCCCATGCAGCCAGGACACCAGCGATATCTGTGTCCAAGGCCTGTGCCGGGTAAGTCCCCGCTGGTGTTTCCGTCACTGTTGTCTTGCTGCCAGGCTGTGGTCTGTGGCTTTCTTGACGGAGTAGCAGCTGCTAATACCTGTGCACTGCCTCCGGGCAGTGGTTGTCCAAGTGGGATCCCCAGAGCAGCATCAACCCCCCTGAACCTGCCGCCGTGGATTTTTCTTGATATTCTCAGCCCCTCAGGGGCCTGCACAGAACTTCCCTGTGAAGGTGTCTTGCAACAGTTTCCCCACACACTCCTTCACCGTAACCTCAGTGCTTAAGGTTAAACCCAGATGCTCCCTGGCAGCAGTTTCTAGATTGACTAGCTCTGCGCCAGGGTGGTCTGGTGAGGAAGGGCTGGCCTCACTCAGATTCGTCTTTCTGATTTTAAGCAGGATAGCTTCTACCTGAGGCACACCTGTCATTTACTCTCTGAAGGGAAATCGAGACACTTCTGGCCGATGGTAAAGCATCAGAGCAGTGATTTCTCAGGGGCCGATCCCGTTTCACTGTGCTCACCAGTCACAGATCATCCCTAGCACAGCCAGGCTAGGAGATGACCTGTGTCTTCCTTGCTCGTGGCCACTGGCAGATTGGATTCCTAATCGGAGGATTCGACTGCAAGAGCCCCTGAGGGCGCCCCCCACGCCCTGCTCACTGCTGACAGTGCAGGTCCTCCTTGTCAGCGTATTTTGTGGCAGCGCTGGAGTTCCTCCCTGAAGACTGGATCCTACAAAGGAACCAGATGGGCAGGAATGTGAGCGCCGGCCCCCCTGGTCTCCAGGTTGCTGCTGGTGTCCTCAGAGCTCAGGCTACACTGCTGCTTTGCATTGAGACCTAAAGACATTCGGGAGGCCATTGGGAGCCTCAGGCCTCAAAGGGGTCTGCAGCCATCGCTGGCCTGCACTCATCGGCAATACTTAAACAGGCGGTTTCACGCCAAGTACATGTTCCAGCTTGTCTTGGACAATTGGGAGATGTCAGCACTGGGCGCCGGTGGGCGTGGCTGGCGGCGGTGGCCGCAGTGGGCAGCGCTGCCCCTTCAAGATCGGATGTGAGCTCTTTAATTGGATACAGTCCTCACTGCTCCATTTCCCAATCCCAAGTGGGCTTTTCATTTACTCAATTTATTTGTGGGCTAGTGCTCCTCAAACTCGAATCTGTAGGTGCAACACCTCAGGAGCTTGTTAACATGCCAGGACATCTCCCCGAGTCGGCAGATCTGAGGGTGCTCGCGCATCTGCACATCCGACAGGCTCGGGGTGCCCTGGGCTGCTGGCCTCGACCACGTTTCCCATAGCAAGTTTGACTTAATTTTCTTGTCACTTTGAATGTCCAGCATGCAAAGAAGCACATTACTTGTTGTTTTATCATCTTTATAATAATTACCACTTATTTCAAATGTTTTCTTTTTAAAAGCAAGCTGGATGCGATCACGTTTTAAACTCGAAAGCCCGGAGAGATAAGTGCGGGGTGTGCGGTGGCAATAATTCTTCATGCAGAACAGTGGAAGGAAACTGGACACTAGCAGTACATTACGGTAAGACTCTGTTTCTAACTCCCACGAGAAGGAAAATGGTCACCATTTAAAAAACTGCTCACCTTGTGTAATATGTAAGAAGTAATAATGTCGAGCGTAAAATCAGTCTTGTGAAGGTACGTTACCCACCTGGCTATAAGGCACCTAATGAGTGAGAGTTATAGTGTATTCCTTTGTTGCCCGTATTTTATTCCAGGCTTAGAGAGATGAGCCATGCTGTGGAACACTGAACTTCTGCCCAATTCTTTTCAGGTTATAATCTCGTGGTCCGAATTCCAGTGGGTGCTACCAGCATCTATGTGCAGCAGAAGAGTAACTCAGGAAAACTGGAGGACGATAACTACTTAGGTGAGATGGGTGCCCCCGCCACGGGCAGGAATTCTTGTTTTCTGGAGCAGTTGGTGGACACTTCCCTTCCTGCGTTCCACGCGGAGAGCTTTCCGGTGTCAAGTATTTTCACAAAAGAAGTTGGTCTTGAAATTCACTTATTTGATTTCTCCCACATATATAGACTCTCAGCGTATTGATGTAAGATTCATGTAGTTATATCAGTCAATATTGAGGGATTTACTCTGGATCTTAGAAAATAGAAAGGCCCTAAATCAAAATTTTTAAAGCATTTTTTAATCGATTTGATTTGAGAGAGAGAGAGGAAGTGAGATAGAGAGAGAAACATCAATCGGTTGCCTCCTGTATGTATCCCTACTGGGGCTCAAACCCGAAACCTAGGTATGTGCCCTGATGGAGGATCAAACCCACCACCTTTTGGTGTTTGGGACGATGATCCAACCAACTAAGCCACATGGGCCTGGGTCCTAAATCAAATTTTGAAAGTACTTGTCTTGTAAGTTTAGCATAAAATCATTGCTTTGAGTCTTTTTCAAAAAATTTGTCCTGTGGGTAACTGACTTACAAAGGTTTTATTAGAGGTATTACCTGACTCAATGTTAATGTTCTCGACTCTAACCAAGAGTGGACTACTCAATATTTGCTTACAGCTGGTCATTCCAAAAGGTTCTATAGTGGCAATATTTTTCTTGTGTCATGACTAGGCCCGTCTGGTTACTTTACCGATTCTTCATCCTTCTCTCCCCACACTCAGGCATGTGATTAGCTCATACCTATTCCTTATATTGAAAGCACAGCACCCCGACAACCTTGTGTTCACTTTCAACTGTGTGCTCAGCCGAGTCCCACTCCAATTTATCTCATTCCAAAAACTGCAGTAAGTGATGAGGAAATTTGCCAACCATTTTTAATTAAAAGAAGGGCATGGGAGAGGGGTCATGACTGAGAGAATTCGGCTGGTCACCTGGCACCACCATACCCCTGCCCGTGAGAGGCAGCATGCCGGCACCGCACTCAGATCTGGGGAGATCGGGCAGCTCTGTTGGCAGTCAGGTTAAAGGAAATGAGTGTGCTAATGGGCTTTCTCCTACACTGTCCAGACGGGAACTGTTTATCCACCTGAATACAGCCTCTATGGGAGGCTGCCTCCAAACACTCGCCATATTGAGCTAGTACATGAGTCTTCGTTGAATCTATATTTTGGAATGTCTGCATGAAATCCTTCCTAAGATAGACAGTGACCCGTTAGTCAAGCAGGCTCATCAACTATAACATTTAGACATGACTCCATTATAGCATTTTCTGTGTGTGTGTCATTCATTTAATTAACCATTCAATAATGTGTGCTAGGCACAATAACCAAAACAAACAAAACATTTAAAATAGGAATCTCCTTTTTCTTGGAACTTACTTTTTAGTAGGAGCAGATCAGTGATTTTCAACCTTTTTCATTTCATGACATATATAAACTAATTACTAAAATTCTGTGGCATACCAAAAAATATATTTTTTGCCAATCTGACCAAAAAAAGGTATAATTTTGATTCATTCACACCAAACCGGTATTGTGTTGGTTTTTGTCATTTTTTTAAAATTTGATGATCTGAGGGAAAAGAGGTCAGTGCCCTTGACTAAATGGCATTGCCTGTTTTAAAAATTCTTGTGGCATACAGGTTAAAAATGGCTGGGGTAGATAGACAATAACGTAAAAATGAGCAAATAATATACTGTTAGAGGAGGATATGAGCGATTAGAAACCAGAGCAGCATGAGGGAAACCGGGATCCTGAGGGTGAGCTGGGAGCAGTGGCGTTGAGATATTTGAAATGTAGCAGAGATACAACACACCTGGCGGAAGAGCATTCCAGCAGAGGAACAGACAGTGCAA